ACAGTATAATTCTTGGTATCAGACAGGCTAATTCCTAGCCAAGTTCGATAACATTATCTATATTTGAGTCAAAAAAGTGCTAGAGCTTTAAATTTGATATTGGAAATCATATAGCAAACTGGGTTTGTAGGCGGATTTGGAATTTGCACCAGAACTCCCTTTATTGCCTATATATTATAGTTATTATGTAAAACTTTTTTATATAGCTTAAAAACTGTTTTACAAAAAGTGCTAAATTTGAATGTCAATCATCTAATTAAAATTGACTCCCTATGCCGATCCCTGACATGACCACCAACTGATATATACTAATATGTATATAAATCTGATTAATTTATCTATTAATTGATATTAATCATAAATAAATACTACAGTCATTAGAACAAGTAGATACAAATGAAGTTAGAGATTAAAAAAACTTAGCTTTTACTAATTAGTTTGTAATATATATAATCTTATGTTTTATACTGTAAGAGTCCTTACACAAGTAATTATGTTATAGATCACATAATTTACTATATTTCATGATTTGATTTTACTAGAAATATTTTCATATAATTTCAGCAAAATTTCAATATTTTGACAGTTTTAGTAAGTGAAAACCTTTAGGTTTTCTAATAACCTTAATATCTGTAATACTAGATACTTAATTTAGATTATAACGTATAGTTTAAATTAACTAGTTAAAATATCATATTTAGACAGGCATATTGTAAAAGCATGTTTAATATAATAGGAAAAACTTAAAATATATAACTTATTAAAGATTAGTTATGTTAGCTAATATCAAATTCAAACCCAAAAATAATTAAATACTTATTCACATTTATAAGATTTTAAATAACTTATAAAAAAAATATTATACTTATAATAGTTAAATAAGATATATTTTAATTTGAATACTAATATTATAAGTATAAAACTAGTGTTGCTATTCAAAACTAAAATTCTGTAGTTTAAACTTACTAAAACTAGATTAATTAATTGACAAAACTAGTTTAATCAATAGTTGAAACTACTAAAACTAGTTTTGTTTAACTGAACTAACTTTTAGTAGTTTAAAATAGTAAGATTATATATTACATATATTATATATATTTACATAAAATTTATAATAATTATTAAAATAAAATAAATAGAATTATAGTAATAATTATCTGAAATATTAATATGATAAAATATTAATTTTATTAAAAACAAATAACAAAATACTTAAATAATAAATAATAAAATTAAGATTGATGAAATCATCAGATAAAAATCATATGAATAGATCGAAAAACTTATATAATCAGAAAAATTTTATAATAATAAATATTTATAATTCTTTATTTTATTTTTTATAATATTTTTTATTTAAATATATGAAAAAATATATTTCAAATAGAAATTTTAATTTTAACATTAAAATTTATTAAAGATATTAAAGATATTAAAATATTAAAATATTAAAAATTATTAAAGAATAAAAGTAAAAACAAAAGAAAAATTCAATAGCCTAATATTTTCTAAAATAATATTAAAAATTAACTTATAAATTCTACTTTTATTTATATTTTATGCTTCATATTTATATAAAATTAATTATATTAATCTTTTGGATGAAATTTTTTTATTACAGTTTTTATATAAAAGATTTACAGTATACAATTAAATGACTTTTTTTTATGAATTCAAACTTAAATGGTACTTTTTATTTTTAAAAAAAAAACAGAAATAAAAAAGTTTTTTGAAGAAATAAAATTCGTATAACTATTGAAAAACAAATCATGAGTATGATTAAAATGAGAAATAATATCAGACATGTTAGAATAAGCCGCGCCTTAGTAAAGATTATGCAAGCGGCTGAGAAGTATATCGTATAAAATCAATTATAAAAAATTTTTTATTGGTAAACATTTTTTATATTGAACTCGGACTAGGAATACAGTTGTATAAACCAGATTGTTTATAATTTTAGTAAAATCATTCATATAATAGAGTTTCAAAGAAGGTTGTATTTATTACTCATTCGCGTAAAAATACAGAGCAATTGAAGGTGCAATGCAAATCTCACATCAAGTAGTATTTTGTCAAATATCTAATCCGATGTACTCATGTAAATACTTTATCTGTGTTTTTTAAGTGAGATGAAATTACAAATTTAATATGTATTGACTAATTTCTGAAAATATAATTGCATAACTCAAAGTTTCTTGAACGACCTATTATCATTAGCATGACAATTGGAAAAGGGTTGGGAATATTATAATGAATATTTTGGAAATTTTAGCAGAGAACTGGACATAATTTTTCCTAATATTTGTATTATTTTAAAAAAATAGATAAATTAGAATTTATTACCACCTGATATGATTATAATTCTAAAATTCATTCAGAGGATACATATAATATGATTAGTAATTTTGTCCACAAATCCAATCCCAAAAGCTATCCAATAGAGATGTTAACGGTCTATTTTTGGATATTAACAATAAAGTTCGATTTAAGTCCGAAAGATTATCAAATGATAAAAAGATTGCGTAAAATCACGATAACCATAATTCCTGTTAGATTCTTTGGGAGATTTGTTCTTTCGATTTTTTTGAATGAAGTTTTATTAAAAATTGGTCTAGAATCAAATTACAAACCGAATCACCCCTCAGACCGACTGACCTAACCGTTAACATCTCTAAAGCGAACATTCCATATACAATTAGATATCTGATATATGAAAGTCTAAAGGTCGGGCATCCTGGAAAAAAATCTAAACTGCATCCTAAATTTGCAATGGAAAACTGTATCTTACTATATATTATATTATGTAGAAATCAATCCACCATCAACAATAAGTGTCTTTAGGCCAAATAATTTGTTAGCGAATTTCATTATTTCATTAAATGATACATTGAATGTAAATAAAAGTAAAACCCTTACCTGCCCAGTAACATAATCAGCTTTTGCAAGATACAAAGCAGCATCGGAAACTTCCTATTTTATTCAAAAGAATAATTAATCTAAAAATATGATAATAGATGATCAAAAAGGGGATCTTTGGCTTCATTTACCTCAGGTTTACCAAATCTTTGCATTAATATTTTGTTTTTATAAGTTTCTTTTTCAGAAATTGCTTTATAAACCAATGAATAATTTTAAGTAATCAAAAAAAGTTTAATGGGTTATTCAACATTGTCGAGCAACTCGATGATTTTGAACGACTATCCGATATCTATCGCAATCAAAATATCACATATAGAGCACCTCCTTCTTTTTCTAAAATATTTACAGTATTATAGTGCCAGACACTTGTATTTTGATTGTATAGAACCGGACAAATGTATATTTATTACTAAAAATTCATACTTGAAGTCATATCAGTCTCAATAAATCCAGGTGCGATGACATTTACGCGAATATTCTTCCGTGCAAGTTCTTTAGCCAATGATTTTGAAAATCCTAAAAACAAAGATATAATATTAAAATATTAAAAAATTTAAACCAAGTAATAACTAAAGAAATATTCAAAATACCAATAATTCCAGCTTTTGAAGCACTATAAACGGATTGACCACTATTCCCTTGTAATCCAACAACGCTTGAAATATTAATTATACATCCTGTCAAAATATAAAAACGATTAATTAATTCTAAAAAAAATTATAAATGAATGCAATTATTAATACTGCACCCTTTTTCGTTTTAATCATTTGTTTAGAGATATGACTACACATATAAATTGTTCCAAGAAGATTTGTTTGAATAATATCATTCACATTTTGTTCTTTAAGTCTAACAACGAGCGAATCATATGATACTCCTAGAAAAAATTAATCATTTAATGAAGGAATCTTTTTATTTTATTTTATTTTGTGAGGGATCCTTAAGTTAACCTGCAGCATTTATCAAATAATCAACATTCCGTAATGATAAAATATCCTTGAAGAAAAATAATACAAATTAAAAAAAAAAAAATAAAATAAACATTTCTTCCACAATAAAACGCAGAGATACCGTGCAAACATTCTCAATTTCTGTAGGAATTCTTAAATCACATTCATATCCTAAATGATTATTGTCTACTTCAAAATTTTTATTTATGTAATTCTTTGCCTTTTCAACTCTCTCTTTATTACGTCCTATCAAAGCACACCTTGCGCCATTCTGTGCGAATTTTTGTGCAATAGAATATCCTATTCCACGCGTTCCTCCTGTTATCACTACAAACTCTCCTTTAAAAGGCTTACTTTGAGCTATGTCATATTGTTGGAAAAGAAAAAATTTAGGATTGAACCCAAATAAACCATCTAAATTATATAAGATGTGTATTTAACCTGAAGAAAACATTCTCTTTGTGAAATATCTGTACATATTAAAATCTCAGTAAAAAGAAATGAAATGAAATAAAAAGAAAGGAATTTATTAAGACAATAATCGTTATTTGGGTTACACATGAATATGCCAGATTATCATCATCTATAACCAAAAAGTATTAATTAAAATTGGAGTCAAATATATATTTATCTAATCATTTAATTACAAGTACAAAATATATTATCTCACAACTTAATAATATTATTACAATCAACCATATATAACCTTATTGAACCCATTCAACTGACCAGTTCTAGTTCAAAAATCATTTCAACTTAGAATCAAGAAAGTTGGTACATTATTCACAAGCCAATTTAGCGTCAAAACTTGTTAATGCGATAGCAAATGCTTGAAGAGGACACATTGGATACATAAAGTCCATCGTAAATGTATCTTCTTCAACACGTCCAAATTGCATTATAATGTAATCCACTATTGAATTAAACAAAAGAATCCCGTTAATATCATCAAAATTTAATTTAAATAAGTAACTGCAACTAAGCGTGAAACATACGATCATTGTCGTGTACAATTTGAAAGTTTTTAACTGAAGCCAAAGTAACCCTTCCACTGAAATTTAAAACATATGACTGTGTTTCTATAATGACAATAACAAATTTAGTAATTTTATAAATGAAAAATCTATTATTAATATTACCTTCATTCCATTGTGGAGATTTGTTATGCAATACCAAAATATCTCTATGTTCTCCATTTTTGAACTTTCCAATCAATGTATCTGCATCCTAGTCCAATAAAAAATAATCAATTAATAAGAATAGTAAAAAAAAAATAAAGATTAAGAATAAACTCTTACCGTTTCCGGTCTAAATACCGGTCTTGCACCTTGCTTCGTCATCCCTATTAATAAGACAGTCATTTTCCTCGGTCCTTTAAACCCAAGAATATTGGGATCCTATAAAATTATTTGTCAAAAACTTTTTTTTCTTTATAATGAATCTCAAAAATAAAATAAAATAATCTCTTACATAAAATAAAGACTCACATAAACAACTGCTCCAAATTCTTCTCGAATAGGAAAAGTTGATGATTCGGGTTCACGTTTAAATGGATTTCGCCCATTTGAATATATACCGAAAGCTGTACCCAAGAAATTAGATCTAAAATAAAATAATATCCTTTTTATTTAAAAAAAATAAAAAATACAAAAAAAAAAAATACAAAAATAGAAAAATGTTGATGTATCATCATAAGCATAGCTTACCTGACCTTTCCTACAATATTATCCGACGGGAAATTTGCGCCAAGTCGATCTGTTGTTATGACATAATGAGAACTTTTACTCTTTTTTCTTTTTTTAGCAGCAAGAAGAAATATTTTTATTTCATCCCCATTTTCTAAAGTATCTTCAATATAAAGTTCATACTGAGGATATAATTTTCCAAAACCATCTTTACTACGAGTTATTTTGCAAAGAACTTTTTGACCTTGTGGAACAGGGCTAATGATTTAATTAAAGAAAACTAAATAAATAAAGAAAGTAATTAACGGAACAATATACAAGAAATATTTACTTCAATACGAATTTAACTACTTCTTCATGTGTCATTTCTTCTCGCGTTTTTTGTAATCTAAAAGTTGTGATCATTTGAGCGGTTGGTCTATTTATAATTAAAGCCCTTAAATGTTCTGCAGGACCAACAGGTTGAGATAATGTAGTAGTGGATTCATCAAATGCAGAATTCGCATAAGAAGATTGCTATTAAAACGTAAAAAATTTCAGAATTGTTTTAATAATTTCTGCCAATTTCTAACATAATCCATAATTTCAAAGTACCTCGGTCCTTAAAGTGTCCGAGTCTTCTTCCAACTCATCAGATGATTCATCAGAAGAATTATCAATTGAAAGATGATTAATTGCCGTTAATATTGATGGTGATAGTTCTCCTGTCTCTATAATTTTTTGTTAGGAAAAAAATTAATAATTATTGAATCAATTAAAATACGTGGAATTAAAATATTTACCTTCAATTCCTACATTGGGAATTTGAAGTGTATTTGCTCGGTTAGTGCTTGTTCCAGTTTGAGGATCACTGCTCATATTTAAATTGTCTTTATTAAAAATCATTCGTTAACACACTTTAAATAAAATGGTTAATTTTTTGTTCATGAAAGAGTTAAAAAAAAATGCAATCAATTAACATTTATCTTTTTTATGCATAATTTGACAAATTTGGAAAGATGTCAATTTGATTTTATTTATGTATTTACAATACAATAAGATAATCAATGAACATCTGTAAATTAATTAATACTCGGTGCGGTGAAATGAGCGTAAAATATTTCTTTTTCTTATTGACAAACAAAAAACTTAAAACCAAAAAAAATGTCAACTTCGTCACTTGCGCATAATCAAATCATTTCTAAGAAGCAATTATTAACGAAACCAAAATTCTGGGAGGTTGATAGATAAATTTTTTTTTTTTTGATAAAAATTTTTTTATTTAGTTTTTTATTAAAAAAAAAAAAAAAAAAAAAAAGATATTAGGACCATTTCCAACTGGAACACGTGAACAGGATTTTGGTGCGGATCCATTAGAAGCTTATGGTATATTACATTCTGATAATTCAATCAAATTTATTATAAAATTAAAATTAAATTTTATTTTTTTTAAAAAAAAAATTGGATCAAGGTGGTTTTTCCAAATTAAAATATTCAAAAGAACAAGTATTTCCATCAGAATTAGCTAATAATGGTATTATAAATTGGTCAAAAATTCAATCAAACGAAGATGGTTCGGTAGGGCCAATAGACTTTAATAACATGAGGTAAAATCAAAAAAAAAAAATTTTTAAAAAACGATCCTCAATCATTATATATATTTTTGTAAAAAAAAAAAAATTTTAAGGTGGGATTTTAATAAGAAATCGTTAGGATGGTCAATTTCACAATTTCAATTATGGGCTAGGGGATATTTTACTACTCCAGAGTTCTTTTCGGAACAAAAAATTCCAATCCTCGTACAATGTCACAATATTGGAGATTTTTACATTAATAACCAAAGATGTCATGGGGATTGGTATAATTATCATACATCTTATTATATTCTTCACTTAACTCCTAATACGCAGTATACAATTGATGTACGAGTCGTTAATGAAATTCGAATTTTTGGTGATAAAATACCACCAAGAATAAAATTCGATTGTGAATTAAGAAATTTAAAACTAGAAGAAAAGGGTGCAATGTTTTTGCATGAAAGGATCATTGTACCTGATTTAATTGGAGGAACAAGATTTGCTGGTGAATACATGAGCATTCCGATATTGAATACGTTGGAAAATGAATGGATTATTATTGAGAAGGTTGCGATTGTTAATTGTCCTGCAAAGGTATTTATCAAAATTTATTCATCATTTTTAAATTTATTTATTATCATCATGATAATAAATTTCTTACTAGATAGCAGTTGAATTAATTCCTACCTCTTACGACTCCTTCACACGCGGAATAAGACTTGCACCTTCACAACATCAAAATATTAAAATAAGACTAATTTTAGAAGAACCTTATTTTAATCCATTATTACCATTCTCTTTAAAATTCGATATTTCTTCAAAAACACCAAAAGGCCATCAAAGTCTTTTGATAAAAATTACTAAAGAAATTCTGATCAAGTATAAAAATTTAGACGCATTTTATAAATTTACTTTTGAAGATTTTGATGAATCGATTCAATATGGTAATCTAAAAGCCCCTTTTGATTCAAATTATATCAAACAAATATTAACCATTTCTTTTTTAGCCATGATTATGCACCCAAAGGAGAGTAGTGCGCCCAATAAAGCTCCGATATTGGTAGCATTACATGGAGCTGGTGTTGAAGCAAATGTAGAATTTTGGACTAATGCTTATCCAAAACAAAAAAATTCCTGGGTAATTAAAAGATTTTTTTTCCCTTTTTTTTTACAAACCAAGTGCTAATGTTTTTAATTATATATAAGATATTATTGCCTACAGGAAGAACACCATGGGGATATGATTGGCATGGACCAAGTTTATTAAATGTTCAATATGCTATAAAAGCTTTGATAGATCCAACCGGAACATTTAAAGAATATTTGAACGATTTTATACCAGACCCAGATAAATTATTCATTTCAGGTGATTATAATATAATTTTTTTTTTAAAAAAAAAATTAATTATATTTACTTAATAACTTTCATATAGGACATTCAAATGGTGGACAAGGTGCTTGGTATTACATGTCACACTATCCCGATTCGGTAATTGCTGGCACACCTGCAGCAGGCTATGTTAAGATTCAACATTATGTGCCATACTTCTGGAACAGTTATGCTCATATAGATCCTATATTAAAAGGGGTAAATGTTTATAAACAATCAATTGCAAGTATTTTATTATTATTTATAAAATTTTAACCTTTTACTAGATTTTGGATTCTTCATTAGCAGAATTTAATAATGATCTATATGCTTCAAATTTGGTAAGTAAAGTGAAGTAGAATTATATTGTTTTATTTTCAGGTTGTTTTTATTGAAGTTTTGATTTATAGGTTAGCATACCAATATTAGTAAGAGCTGGATCAAATGATGATAATGTACCTCCAATGCATTCAAGACAAATGGTCAGATTAGTAAATGAATATTCAAATAATCCATTAGCCATAAAGTAAGTTTATTTATCTTCATACAACCTTTTCGTTTCTTTTTTTTTAATTTAATCTTTATTTTTAGCTTATCAGAAGTGATAGGTCAAGGGCATTGGTTTGATCATATTATGAGTGATAATGTCATGCAAGATTTTATGAATAAACATTTATTAATCCAAAAAAATAGTGTGCAATTATCATCAGATAATTCTTCGATAAAGGATCCGGTTCTATTAAGTCAATTTACTATTACATTAATGAATCCCGCAAATTTTGGAGGTAAAGGTGACATAATCGTCGAACAACTGATTATTCCTTTCAGGTAGATAAATTTAAATTTAAATACATCTCATCAATTAATCTAACTATTGTCTATTAATTATAATCAAAACAAAAAAAATTTTAAAGGCTAGGAAAGATTCACGTAAAGATATATCAAGTTAACCCGGAGGACGATTCAACTCCGATCGTATATTCTTTAAAAACAACAAATATCAAAAGGTTCAAGTTTAAGCATCTAAACGAAAGTATTTCAACAATAATCATTGATGAAACAGAATTTGGTGCATTGTCCATAATTCAAGAATTGCGACAAATTTGTTGGTTTTATAAAAATGATAAAGAAAATACATGGAAGGTAATGCTCTTTTTTTTTTATTTTAACGCTATTTCGTTTATTAAGAAATATTTTATTTTTATTTTATTTACTTTTTATTTACTTTATTTTATTTAATTAGGTTTCTAATGATAAGACATGGATGTATAAACAAAAGCACCCTTTAACATATGGTCCAGCTCATTTGATTCTTGAATCTAAATTTCCATTGCTTTTAGTAGTTGGAACAATTTCTTCAAAAGCTTTTACGTCAAAATTCATGAACATAGCTCAAGAAATTTCTCATTCATGGTTTCTTTATGGAAATGGAAATGCTATAATTATTCATGATACTGATTTATGTGATGATCATAAATTCATCTGTAATGAATATGTTAAAGGGAATATGGTATTGTTGGGAAACATCTTTGAGAATAAAGTAACAGAACTTATAATGAATGAAAGAATTAGTGAAGGTATACATTATTATGATAATGCATTCTTCATATTTTATATATTAACTAATTTTAATTTATTATATAGTCAAGTTTTATAAAGATGGTTCATTTCAATTGAATTATAAAAAATTTTCAGATCCCGGAACAGGTTATTATTATGAGCTTTTTAATTTTTCTATCGATATTTCGATTATTAACATCATCGCGCTTTTCTTATTCCTTTAGGAATTTTATTTTTGCATCCATATAAATTTTCGCAACTTTCGCTAATAATTTCAGGAACAGATCTTTCTGGTTTAGATCAAATCACTAAACTATTTCCTAAACGAACTGGCGTTCCAATTCCGGATTGGATTATTACGGGATCAGAAACGAAATGGAAAGGAGTTGGTGGTTTACTTGGTGCCGGGTGAGTAAAAAAATTTGATATTGATTAAAATATTTGATTATTAAATTATTATTTTTGTTATTATTTCCGATAGGTTTTGGGATAATGAATGGAAATATAATGATGCAATTGGTTATTTGGTTTAAGTGGTAAATTAAATCTATTAAACTATAAATCCATTTGTATTAAAATTAAGTAATATATAATCGTCTAATAAATTGTCTATATATATATAATGTTCTTAATCTACAATATTCCAAGTTTTAACCCATTTCCTACCTTCAAATTCACTAGAAGGATAATCTATACCAAATGCTATGTCTTTAAAATATAAAAATACTATTACTATTAGGGAATAATATATACCAAATATTATATTCTTTGTTCTTGTTTTACAAGTACTAGTTAAATGATCCGTCATAAATGCTGCCATTAATATTGAAAAATATAATGCTGGGAAATAATGATGCAAATATGTAACTCTTCCCATTATCCAAAATGGTAAATAATGTAATAACCAGCCTATTCCACATACTTTTCCAACGTATAAGAAATGTGTCCATTGAGCTATGAATAAAATAAAAATATTTGAATTTGCTTTTTATATGGTTCATAATAAAGTTAAAAAAAAAAAAAAGCTCTTTACCTGGTGAAAAATCCTTATATCCTCTCTGTCGTCTTACCAAATACCAAAGTAATGTAACTACGAATATGATCAAGGATACTGTACCAGACCACCATACCACTGGATTTCCAAGTAAATAATATTTAACCACATCATCTGCCCAACTACACATCCTTAACCCAACCTTTAAAAATGGCCATTGTCCTGGTGTAGATGCAAGAATATCTTCTTTATCAGGATCAGGAACAAGTGCATTATTTGTTGTATACATGGCAACATTTAAATGCCAGAAATCATTTAAAAAACTTGACTTATAATAGGCTCTACCTCCGCTTGGCACTGATTTTTTTTTTAAAAAAAAGAGAGATAATTAGGTAAACATTGAGTATAATGAATGATGTTAGATTTAAATGTTAAACGTACGCAAATCATTCCAATGTCGCTCTATATTCCAATAAGTGTGAAAATCCCTTGGATTATTTTGTTTATCGCAAGTCACTTCGATCTGCTTAAACCCCCATTGTGGTAAAGCCGCATTGGCAGCTCGAAGATAACATCCGAGATGTTTATGACGAAATCTCATGCGAGTCGTTAATGATCTAATACGATCTGTCTTTGTATACATATCATCTACAACTTCAACCACCCAATAATCATTTAAATCCCCAATTGTTTCATTGCCGTAACAACTAACTTCCCATTGTGATTTCGTTACTGGAGCCGCAACTTGATGACTATGTAAATTTCTTCCAGTTTGAGCATGGAATAATATAATCATATCTTTATCATGCACAAATTCAACCTCATTCTCATTATTGCTAATCGGTGCTTCTCTCGTTTTTTTAATAAACCAATCATTGTTAACATCATGATGATGATAACAAGTTACTTGTTGCTGTTCTGATCCTACTGGATATGCCTGAACATGAGAATGTAAAAGGCCACCACCAAATCCCATGTTCTTAATTGTAACCCTTGATCCATATGCTAATTCTAAATGAAAGATAAAAAATACGTTACAAAGACGATCTATCAATGACAAAACATTAGCGAACGTAAATCAACCAACCAAGAGGATTTTCTGCAAAGTTATTGCCATAGAGGCCAGCCTGAAAGAGAGAACTCATCTGAGCATCTCCCGGCCCACTATTAGTGAGGATTGCAAAATGTATCACAAAGCTCAACATATAAATTAAAATTGGAAGTATTATTAAACAGATGATTCTTGCAATCCAATGTTGTAAATAAAGTAACTAAAGGTGAAAAAAATTTTTTTTGATGTTAGTCTTTAAAGAAAAAGAATATACTTATACTTTTGATATTAAATTATATCACTTACCTTTGGCATGTTTAAATCTCCAAATTTATCCCAAAGATCTTCGATTGTATATAATCCAACCAATGCTGTTACAAATAATCCGACCCACTTAACACTTTAAAGCAATTTGTTTTGTTAGATCAAATTTAAAATAAATCATAATTATAAAAATTTGTCTCACCTTGTGACACAACCGATAGAAATTCCGGTCAAGGCCAGCCATAACCACCAATCAATCGAAAAGGATCTATTAAAAAATCATCATTAAATCACCTTAATCAAATAATTAATAATGAAGACAATGATATACGTACTCGTATCTATGATTATGAAATTTCACCATACAGAAAACAGTCATAAAAGTAAAGAATAATAGCATCGCGTCCAAAAGAATGAAACGACTGATACAAAGGTATGCGGTATCTAAAATAAAAATAATAAGGATAATTAGAATATATTTATTAAAAATCCAATATAATCTTGTAACTTGCCTAACAACACCATCAAGGCTACTAAAATAACGGCATGTTGAGAAAAATCCAATTCGATGGCTGTAAAATAAGCCAAAGGTACCATCCATGCACCAAACGAAGCCAAGAAGATTCTCATTAAGACATAATTTAAATTTTCCGGATATTTAGATCCAGATGCAAAGTCGAAAGATCCATCATATCCGACGAGCAACCCCGCCAACGCAACGATCATTTTACCAAGAGGTGGATGCACATCGAAGTAGAATTCTTGTTTGAGATAATGTGATGCAAACTACAGATAATAAATGAAGTTGGATGAGAAACCAAATAACATGACCGAAAATTAGCAAGAATCATACTTTGCCGAAATGCGCCTCGTCCCATAATACGATATCCGAAAGGGAAATTAAATAAAATCTTGTCCAAAATGATAAAACAGTGAAGAATAAAGGATGAATGATATCGTAGTAATCATTATAAATGGCTCGAAGTTCTTCTAACTAGATATTTAAGTATAAAATAAATTATTTGTCTAAACAAACAACAACAGTCATAATAATAGAAGTTACCTTTGTAGAAGGTAAACGTGGTGGTTTTTGTGTTTTAACATAATTGAGGTCCGGTTCAAAAGGAACGGGCTCATACTCTTGTGTTTGTGCTGTAGTGTTGTGTCTACGTTTTAAATTATCCATTTCTGAAAAAGAATTTCCGATAAAACGATTACGACTATCGTCAATATCGTCACTTGACCAAACGTCAAGACGAACTGTCATAGAGTTGTTCCTCTTTTATATATAAATTTATTTTTTCTAAATTTAGTAACCGGAATCTTAGATAACATTTGAAAAGTGAGAATGATCCAATTTTTTAAGTATGGATTAAAAAGGTTAGGTTAACCAATTGTTCTATCACGATCGACACATTACCTCGTGAAAAGCATATAAACATATTTACTGGTACATGTACATGTATGTGCATTAATTATTATATTTATTTGTTTATCATAGAATCAATTTTCCAATCAACAATATGTTTCTGAAGAAATTGGCTAACATACCGAAAGTAATTTGGTTGTTGAACCGTATCTAAATGACTGCCTTCATTAAATTCAATCAATTCTTTACCACCACTAGTTTGGGATAATTCAAATAATTTTTGCATATGAAATGGTGGTATGATTTCATCTTTTTTGCCTGATAAAAATAATATTGGGATTGTTTTAATTTTTTTTATCATTTGCTCTGATGGCCAAATATCTGAACTGAGAAAATTAAAATTTGGAAATAATTTTGGAAGAACTTTTTGCTTTTGTTATTCAGGAAAAAAATATATACTTGTTATTATCTTTTTAGGAGAGTAAGACCAAATCAGTAAAAGAATAATAACTTACAATGTTGAGGAATGTATTTTCCAAGATTAATATGTTAACACATCTTTCATTTCTTGCTACCAAGTTAATTGCTACGGCTCCTCCTAGTGACTGTCCATATACTATTAATTTAGTATGTCTTAAAATTTCATCTTGTTTTATATATTGTAAAGCGGCCTATATATAAGTAATTACATAAGAAAGCATTAGAAATTACAATCTCTAGGTAATCACGAAGTCTCGAAGTGTGTTTTACCTGAGCGTCCAAGCAAAGCCCCTTCTCGGTAGGTGTTCCTTCGCTGCGACCATATCTGATATAAGTAAGGTATTTTAACAATTATTCATTGATGACGCTTGAGTTATCGTGTTATGCTTACCCTCTGTAGGAAACCATTACAACATTACATTTAAAATCTTTGAAAAATCTTTCAGCTATAGGTAATCGATGACCCTTCAAAGAAAATTAATTTAAAAACTATTCTAAGCATTGAATCAATTAGAACTCTTTTAAATTTGATTATTTAATTTACCATATTTCCTCCATTTCCCTGAATAACATTGTGTGTTTTATTTTTTTTTTAAAAAAAAAAAGAAAAATCAGTTTGAATTAATTAATTCGAGAACATACGGAAATTCATTATCTTAATCTTACATGAAACATCAAAACGGTAGGACGAGAACTTGCTTCGTCTTCAGTATGCCTTTTACAAACATAAGCCCGAATATTAACATTATCTTTTGTCGTTAAAATAACAGGAGAATAAGGAATACCATATTCAGAAGGTTTTGGTACCTAGCATACACATACAATTTCAGTTATATATATTAATCGATTTAAGAAGATTTTACAATTTATTGATTTTTTACATGCTTTCTTGAGCCTTCGGGATAATTCGATGTATAAATTGAATTCCGTTGAACAGAGTATAATATGGCAATACCACTACTAACAACTATTGTTCCCCCTATGATTAATAATGGAATGGCTTTTTTTGCCGTTACCATCGTATATATCATAAATATCGAAAGTTTTTTTTTTCATAAATAACGACTCTTTACAAGGGGCATGTCAAAATATTGAAAGAACAAGTTCAAGAAAATTCAATCTGATTTACTAATTATCAAGCTAATTTCCGAATTTAATCCCTTTTCTCCTTGTGTAACGAAAAAAAGTAAGTCATGTCATGTCATACTTCGAATAATTTTTTTTTATTTTAAATTTACTTGTTCAGTTCAGTACAGTCAATACACAATATACAAATCCCTAAATTTGTTTTTTAATTAATTTCTATTTAAATCAACATGCTTTTTTAAAAATTTACCAACAAATTGAAAGTAACCAGGTTGAAAAATGGTCTCATTATGACTACCATATAAAAATTCTTTCCATTCTTTACCGCCACTGGTTTGAGATAATTCGAATAATTTTTTCATCTGTTGTTGCGGTATAACTTCATCTCTTGTTCCGGATAAAAATAATATTGGTATAAACTTAATCTTTTTTATCGATTTTTCGGATGGCCAAATTTGTGAACACATGAATGTTAAATATCGTAGTATTGGTAGTATATGTGGAACCAATTTCGGCTAAATCAAAATATTTTGGTTTTAAAAAAGGGGGAAAAAAAATGAATAGGTCGACTTTGAAAACTTACTATACTAAGAAATGTGTTTTCAATGATCAATGCGTTGACCTTTGATTCGTTTTTTGAAACCAAGTCAATAGCTACAGCGCCACCCAATGATTGTCCATAGACTACAATTTTAGTATCTTTAAATATTTCATGTTTCAAAACATAATTTAATGCCGTCTAATAATAATAAAAAAACATTAATATAAAATTATTTTATTTTAAATTATTTTCCAAGGAGATTATAAAAGACCTGTGCGTCTATGCGTAATCCTTTTTCCGTGGGTGTTCCTTCGCTACGACCATACCTTTGATTATGGATTGTTTCTATTAAGTCGACAAGTTAAATGTATAATAAAATTTTTTGCAAATGTTGCATTTTACATACCCTCTATAAGATAAAAGTACCACATTACATTTAAATTCATTATAGAATCTTTCTGCAATCGGTAATCGATGACCCTTTATTTCAAAGACATTAGGTTTTAATTAATTTATAGGAAAAAAAAGTCTTGTAGGCTAAATTTTATTTATTGTACCATATTTCCTCCGTTACCCTATAAAATAAAATAAAGAATAAAGAATAAAGTCATCGGTTTTTTTTAAAAAATTTAAATTTATAAATTGAAATGACTTACATGAAACATTAAAATAGTGGGTCTTTTTCTAGCTTCTCTATCTATCGGTCTTTTGCAGATAAATGCTCTTAAACGAATACTATCTTCCGTAACCATCGTAACCTCCGAATATGGAATTCCATATTCAGATGGTTTTTGTATCTAAAAAGAAAAAATATTTCCGAATTAATTGTCTTTTCCCCAACTTGTTTAAAATGGATCTAAAACTTACAAATCTTCTCGATCCGTTTGGCCAATTAGACGGATAAATCATATCACATTGTAACATTTCGATATATAATAAAACCATCCCACTAATTGCAATTGTCGTTCCTGTAATAATTAGTACCATATTAGATTATTATAATTCCCATGCACGATTCATTAGTTTTATATAGAAAAACCAGAAAACCTATCGAATATATATTAATTTATATATATTTTTAAAAAAAAATTGTGGTATAGCTCATGACACTTTTACATGCAACAAACAATAACATAGCCACAATCAGGATATTTATACATATGTCTATCAAAACCTTAAAAAGTGGCGAATTGTGGAAAGGAGAATCCGATCATGATGGTAAATAAAAAGGTCATGTGTAAAATTTCATCATTCAATTCATTCAATTCATTTTTCAATCTACAAATTAACTTTTAAAGAAAACTCTATAATTAAAATGAATCAACGGAAAAACTTTCTTTTTAATGCCATCCTTTCATTGACAACATATAATAAGTTATTTTAATAGCAATTATTGTCGGGCTGGGTCTTCATCCTAACTTATAGCTAGACAAAATTATTTTTTCGAATTTTTTTTTTTTTTTTTTTATGAATAAAAAATTTTATGCAGGTGATGCATATATAATTTACCCTATTAAAATGCTATAAATGCAAGTAGGTAATAAAATCATGTGAATATATTTTTATAAATCACATGAATCATTAATTTTTAGTAAAAGTATTTTAAATAATATTTGATCGATTGATCTTCCTTTTTAATTAATATTAATTTCATTTAATATCTATTTTCCATTTACAAATTTTATTTTTGTTTATTTTTTATCTATTTACTAATTTTTTTTTTTTTTAAAAAAAAAATTAAATTAGAAAAAAAAAATTTTATTTTAAAAGTAAAGACCGTAATTTGATTTTTTTTTTTTATATTAAAAAAAACAAATATATATAAGTTAAGTTATGAATTTAAATAATAATAACAACTTTAATTTAAAATGAAATTTCCAATATAGGAACGTTTCCAGTAAAATCAATAGTAAATCATATGATCCGTAATGTATTTTACTGGAAACGCTTCCATATAGTAGATATTATGGGATTTTTTTTGTAATAAAAAATAGAAAAAAATAACAAATGAGTTATGTAAATAATTTAGCTAAAAAAAACATATTTGACCTAAAAAAGAATTATTTTTTTTTTTAATAAATTCTCTCTTTTCTATTGAAAAGATTCTATATAATAATAAAATATCTATCTATCAATAATAAAAACATAATAAACACCATTTAATATATATAAGCTAATAAAAGTAAATTTTTTTTTTATTTATTTAATATTTACAGAAAGCTTAATTTAAATAAATAATATTATATAGGAATATTTCCAGTAAAATCAAATTATAAAATATAATAAATCATATAATCTATAATGTGATTTTATTGAAAATGCTTCTATATAATACTTTAATTAATATTTTAATATTTAAATCATATTTAATATATATAAGTAAGTAAAGCCAATTTGGGGGTTCTGGGGTAAAATCGAAACAATACCCAAAATAGATCTCCAAGCCTTTTTCCAATCAATTTTAGCTATAT